GTCACGCTTGGTCTGTTTGGCTCCTACAGATTAGCTGCAGTCCCCACTTCACGCTCCATTGGGACCCCATTCTCCTCTGATTAACCAGCCCTGTTATTTTAATGACCGTGAAGCCAGAAGCTGCTAAATCCCGGGATCAACTCCGTGCGGACATTTAAGCTTCGGGGGCTGAGCTCTACATCGGGGGGTAGTTCAGCCGGAGGAGTAGTTGTCCTCTAGCGCCAGGCAGCTCTTCGGGATCTGATCTGAATCCCCTCCACCCCCCTTTTGCTAGGTGCGCCCCCAAGCAGAGCGCACGTGGGCCGAGGAATCTGGGTCGAGATGGAGACTCCGATAAGAGAGGTTTGAACAGGGCTTGCACTCAGGTTAGCCGCCCTTCCCCTCGCAGGGTGTCGGTGGCTAAAGTTTCTCGTTGCAGCCTGTTTTTTAAACGACCGCTCAAAGATTTGTTTTAAACTCGGCCATAGGGTCTGAAATCTGGCTGACCTGAAGGCGAAGAAGGGCGATTCACGCCTCCCCCGCTTCTGAACTGTTTCCCCACGTTCCTCACTCTGTAACAGTCGCCTTTTTACAGATCCCACCCCAGACTGAGCCCAGGGAAATTTATTTCTAGCTCCCGGCCCTTCATGCCAGGTGACTTGCCTAACGAGGCTTATCCCTAAGCTAAACTTTGAGCTTCTTCCCTTTCTTTTCTCCCGCTTTCTTGGGGGGGAGGGTGACTCCGTGAGAGGCCACCCTCCTGGTGTGTGTGGAGCAGACCCTAGCCCCATTCCAGCAGCAGGGAGTTCCGCAGTTTACACTCTGGCCAGACTTCCTGCTTGTTCCCCAAAAGTTAGTCGCCCCTGACGCGCTGCCCCCACAGTCGAGCGATTGGGCGTGGGAACCCCTCCGGCCAACCTGCCTGCACTAACGGGCTTCTGTCCTTTGCTCCTCAGGACCGGCACGACGGGAGCAGCAATGGGAACCAGCGGCTCCCCCAACTACCCAGCCGCCGGCAGCACTTGT